TTTTTTTTTGGGGGGGGGGGTGTTTATAGATTTTCCTGTTACCTTTCCTGCCTGTAAAGCAATCAGGGAGAACGGCAGGAGGCACCATCAATATGCAAATTGCTGCCAGATAACTGGTTTCGCTGGTTCCGCCTTGGGAAGCGGCACGGCCGCCGCGGGGGGATCCGGGGGGCGCGGTGGCCCCTCCGCGCCCGAGCCACCCCCCCTCCGCCGGCTCCGCGGGGCCCGGCGAAGGGCACCGGGCAAGGAGAGCGCTCCTCGGGTTCCCTGAGTCCTCCCTGCTGGCTCACACGGCCTTTTTCGGCGTGTCCGTGGGCTCTTCTGCCTCGGAATTTCTTTTGCGAGGGGTATATCTGAATGCTCTTCCTTCGCCCTGAGAAGCGCTGGCGGTTTGATAGCGCCTCTCTCTCTAATTACACGATGAAGATTCTCGTGCCTCCATGGGCTCACCTGAGAGGTGATGCTCCTGCTTCTAGGCACGGAGTAGGAAAAAGACTGGCTCATCCCTGCTCAGCATTGCGCTCCCGCTCAAGAAAATCTGTGGATGCTCACATGTGGATCCGTATCCAGACACACACTCGGGCCCTCTCTTTTCTAACTCAACATTTAAGGGATTAAAAGGAGCTACTGGTTTCCAAATGAAAATGAAACTGGAAGTCGCAGGTAAGCATTTGCAGGAGAGTGCAAGACCATTTTGCAAAGCGCCAAGAGAAGCAGCGATCTCAGATGGGTTCTGGGTTGGCTCTGCTGGCAGATCCAAAGCAGCACTGCTCATCACACTGACCTTCTGCAGGGCGTTCGTCAAAACCACTCCAATGTTTTTTAAAACCCGCCAAAGCAAACAATACAGCTAGCTTACAAGTGTTCAGATGTGCAGTATCTTTATCACAAATACCCTTCCAGCGTAGTGGTGGCCCCGTATAACACAATAAGGCACAATTCAGACCTGTGACGGTCTATTGAATGCATGAGTTTTTTAAAATTGCCTGGAAATGTATTCATATTGTAAAATCTAATGGTTCAGGTGGAGCTTTTACTCTTGATCAAATGATAAAAATTGTTAGAGACCACTCTGTCATCCCATTGCTCACCAGCCTCCGTGAGGACTGTTTTACATTCCCATTTATATAGGACAGGGGAGCGAGAAGGAAAACATAAACCACAGAAGAGTTACTACAGACATTAACTTTTAAGCCTGAAAAGCAAAAGAGCTGAGAAAAAAAGCAGGGGAATAATTTTTGTCACTCCACATCCTACAGCTGAAGCCTCTGGGCAGTGGATGACATTAGGGTAAGGTTGCACTCAAGTCCTGGGGGCTGTCTGGGGCAAGGTCCCTGTCTGGCCTCCAAAATACCTTCTTCCTGTGGATTTAGGTCTGCCAGGGAAGGGGACTAGTGTGGACAGACAGACAGAGCCTATGGACAGGTGAGACTCCCTGTGGGACTGAGTGGGTGGTGATGGCCTTGTCTGCAGAGGAGGAATCTGAAGTGCAGACTAGTGACAGTAATAATAGTGATTACTATTAAAGCACGCAGCTTTTCATTACTGAAAACTTCAAATAACTCTCCTGAACTATATTTGAGACATTTTTTTCTTCATGTTAACTCCGGGTTTGATTGCTGAAAAAGGTTGACTGCTAGAAAAGGAAAACCAGTGCAGTGCACAGCAGTGGGGAATCGAAGCCCTTCTTTACCAGAACCCCTGCCATATACATACTGTCACTCACCTTCCAGACACTCAGTACAACCATTCAATCTATTGAATCAAGAGACTGTTTGATCTTATCTGCATCTGTGAGCTGACTGTCAACCTGCTTAGGCTGCATATTAAATCATCTATAGTAGCTGTATCAAGCTGGGATGATCTGTTAATTCTAAATTTATTAACCCTTAGAGTGCAGTCATCATGTTTAATCTAGTGTAGCCAGCATTTATTTTACAAGACTAAACCCTTCTTTAAGATATGGCTGTGCTGTAGGTTAAAGAGTGGAGGAGATGGTAACAGAGAAGAGCTCCACTTTGGTCTCTGAAATCCAGCTGACAGCATCGCTGCTCCAAACTCATGTGTGTGCCTACGTCATGCTCCTGTGTCCAGGACGTGGGGTGTCTGCACATCTGCTCATAACATTTCCTCACAGAGTTTTGCCTGAGATGAGCAAGAAAGAGCGGCCTTGAGCAACTTCTGAGCCCTCCACGAGAACCTCATATCAAAAATCACAGGGACGGCAACCACTGCAACACGAGCTGGGGGTGGCTGCAGGTGGAGTCCTGCAAGGACCCACCAACAAACCTCTCCTCCTGGTCAGCTCCCACTTCTTGGTCCATACCTGAGGTCCAAATCCATTGACAAACACCCTCGGAGTGCTGCTCTCTGCGCACGTACAAACACACCCCGACACCGACAGAGATAATTTTATACAGATACACACGCCCGCATCAATATGTTAATCTGTTCCTTACACACACACACACCCCTCCCTGCCCCTCTCTCCTGTTATCCATTATCCTTGCACATCGCCGATGGTATCAACGTATTCACAGCTTTTATTTCAGTCACAAACTGCAAGGCATGCTTCCTTTTTTGGTAATCATGTGCCCGGTATCTCTCTAATGTAGCCTAATAACAATTTTAGCATTCAGATGAAGCGATTTCATTCTGTGACTGCCTTTTCTATTAGATTTGATTCTGAGAAGCCCCAGTGGGTGCCTCGGAGGCAGAGATCTATCTGTGAGGCTGCAACCGATTCAATAGCAGCCTGAGCTAACCTTGACCTTTCCCTAGACCCTGCTCCATCTGGTGCCAGCCTGGTCCCCCCCTTCTCCTCCTCCTTGCTTCGCAGTCAGCACTGATCAAGGCGGAATCGAGCGTCTCTCTCCCTCCAAGGGCTGGGCAGTCGTGGAAAGGACAGCACATTTCAATATATGGAAATGACTGAGCCTCTTATGCAATCATAAATCTACATAGAGCCTCGTGATTTGATATTTCATTCACCTCCAAAGATTCTCCCCCTCCCTCCCACCAGCAGGGATTTACAAACTATAAGACAACGGCTTTCCCCAACACCTGGAAATTACAAAGCTTGCTGTTTACCGGGAGGGAACGCCTGGCGATTTCATCTGATTCACTTCGCAGTTTATTTATATATTTACGGCTCGCTCCGTTGTTTTCCCTTGCGTGCCTGGGTTATTCTATTTTTTTTCGGCGGGTCCCCCTCACGGCCCCGGTTCGGGCGGTGGCAGCGGCTCCGGCGGGGGCTGTTGCAGCCCCCGGTGCGGTGCCGCGGAGGGAAGGGGCGGACGGGCTCGGCTCGGCTCCACCAGCGGCTCGCAGCGCACCCGAGCCCGTCCCGCTCCTCGCCGGGAGCCTTTCCATAGCTGCGAACGAGCGGAGCCTCCTGCAGTAAATCAGCGCTCGCCACTTTGTCACCTTCCCACTTAGACTCCGTTTTCCTGTCCCCCTTCCCCGCTCCCACCCGCCGTGCTCCCGGAGCCTCCGGGATGCTCCTGCTCGCTCCTGGAGGGCGATTCCTGCTTTAGCGAGAGCCAGCGTGGCTTTTACCGCCGAGCTGCTCCGTGCTGCAACATCCCTCTGCGCTCCCTCCTCGCCAGGACGTGCCCTTACGATCAATAATTTTATTTTTCTTCCGAAGAATTCTGACGCAACCACAGTTTCTCACCGCATACCAGCCTCGAGATTACATAACCGATTATGTAAAATTATAATTGCAAGATAATTTATGCAGACTCTAATTATTACCTAGAGTTTCCCGTGTATCTGTAGCCAGGCACACAGCACATATGTTAAGAGTCGGTTCTGCAATATTTGCATAGCCAACACTTCTGGCTGTAGACACGGTGTGGAAAAGGAACGGGGAGATATTTGACAGTACATATGTATGAGAGAGATATATTACTTAATGGGAAAAGGTATCTGGAAATATATTTCTCTCTGTTTTGAGGAATTTGTTTTGCTTTATCTCCACGGGTAGTAAAAAAATAATAGGAAGAAACTGTGAATTACATTGAAAAAAAATATATTCAATTTGTCAGTTTAATATTACACTTCCTCTCTGCAATGCTACAAAGATTTAGAACATTTCCAAAACTTTCAGCTCTAATCTGTGCCTCGGGTTTGTTTGGAGGACCTGTCACCACACGCCAGCTAAAAATGAGTGTCAATTAATAATAAAACCCACTCTTCCTTATTTCTGCACTCATATAATTTAACAGGTTTTGAGAAAACCACGGATGCAATGGTGAGAATTTTCCAATGCGTGCAATATTAACAGTTTTCATTCCAAAGCACTGAAACTTCCTGAAATAGAACTGCCAAGCGTTTCTTTGCTTTTCCCAATGGCCATCTCCACATATTATTAGGCACTTAAAACATAAAGAATATTCAGCTCCTTAAAAAGTGTGGTTTGTTCTACCAGGAACGTTGCTGGTGGAAACGATCTCAAACCGTGGCGGTTCAGCTGAGCACGCCGCGTTATTTGTGGCCTGCAAAATTAGAAATAATTTGAAACAAGAGGTGGGAGAGGTTTCAGCTCGTGTTTTCCACCACGTGAGAATGTAACCGGAAAACATTCGACCTCGTAATGCAACAGGATTCATAAAGTCTTTGCTTCCTGAGCTACCTGAGCAACCAACTGTAACCTCTGCAGAAGTGCCTGAGCGCGGCTCGTTGTTGAAAAGCATATTGTACTTATTAGTAAAATGTGAAATGGCTTAAGAAACAGTTTGAGCTATGAATTGCCATCTGCTCAATGGGGAGAAACAGAAAGTAACTGAATATATTTTCTCACCTTTTTTTATAGTAACATAAACAACACTCCAGAACACTATAAACCCGTAGCTGTACCAAAGGCGGCGTTGGTGCAGTTCCTCGTGCTTCAGGTCAGGATTTTGTCCACACTGTTACACGCTGTTTCTTTTAACTCTCTGCAAATGTCCCCGGGTATTTTTTTTTCCTCCCCCTATTAAACGAGACGTCCTTTCTAGTTTCAGGGATTAAAAGTTTGATCCTCCTGCCCACGTGATGCTGTGCAAGCTGTCCCTGATACAGAGCTAGCCTGAGATCTGTGCGTGTCTTGAGACATCCAAATACAGGTAAAGCAGCGTATACAACTTGTTCTGGTTCTCTGCGTGGGAGGGGAGGAGGGAAGGGTTTATGTTACTCAGCTTTTATGCAGTGTTTTGCATCACTAGAGAAATTAATCTTTGTCCTCTCTCTCTGCCCCTGCCCCCTTTTTTGCAGGGAGAACCCGAGGAAGCTCATGGAACTGCTTCCTCTGGTGTGGAGCTTAGCCAGCGCCAAAAGCACATTCCTCCAGTGCCTGCAAACGCAGTGACCTTCCCGAGAGCTGTGGGGGCAAGGCCATGAACCCAGCTCAGAGCACGGGGAGGCCTCTGCCTGTCCCAGGAGAAAGGCCCTGCTCTGTGCCGGGAGCAGAGCTCCCTGTGAGCACTTAGGGAAACCATCCGTGCTGGCAGCTGCTGCTCCCCGAGACTCAGCTCACCCCACAAACACTACAGCAGAAAGAACAACATAACATTTTTTTTTTGTTTGTTTCTTTTCTGCTTAGCTGGGGTGATTTCTTTGCTCTCCTTCAGCTTTACCCACCTGGGAACGCAGTCTTTCTTTAACCTGTTTGTTCCGTTTCTTGCCCAACAGCAGATCAGCTATCCTGCCCCAAACACTGCTCCTATCAGCTGTGGATCAGAGGGGAGAGAGCTTCTGGAACCAGGGAGCCATTCAAACAAATGGCCTGGTTCAGGCACGCGAAGGAGGAGAACTAGAAGATCTTGGCTTGGAGTGAGTTTTGCAAGGAGCAGGAGAGCTGTGAATTGTTAAATTCCATCCCGCAGGACAAGCACATGTGAGAGAGTAACTCTGCAGTGCAGAAATTGTCTTCACCTGCCTGCCTGATGCTTTCTCCTCTCTGAAAGACCGACTTGTCGAAAGCATCACTTAATAACAACACGAGGAGCAGCTTTTCTGCTCCCTTGGAACTTGGCAGGAGTATAAATACACAGTGAGGGAAAAGAGGAATCGAAAACTTGACAATAGGAAAGGGAAATACAATGGCATGAAGCGGCCTGCATCCCCTCATATTTTAATTTCCACCAATGCCCCTGGCAGAGCTGGGCACAGCAAACCTCCTCGAGATTGATATGCAAAGCGTGCGAGCTCCTTGCAATAGCTGCACCAGAGAACACGCCCAGGTGTTCTACACCTCGCACACACATCACCCCCAAGGTTTGAGATTCAAATCACCTGTCCTCCGTCTCTAATAAGAATGAAATATAGTAGGGGAAGTTTGAATACAGCGGCTTGACAGAGCACGTCGCGTCTCACACCTCACACATGAAAAAACCCGACGAGTGCACGATCAAAAAGCAGCCACTCGTTTCCGTGGCACGAGATTTTTCTGTTTCAAAGGGCAAAAACGTGTGGTGGGAGACAAGGGGAGCCTGAACCTTAAACTCCTGTGGCCCCTGAGAGTACAGCGTGAGGCCAGATCAGAACTCCCTGCTATGAGGAAGATATTCAGACGTTTTTATGAGACTCACGGATCTTCTTTCTGCTTTCAAGTGTGCAGGACATAAGCAAAGCACAAGAAGCAGCGCTGCACTTCAAGTGGTCCTTCCCTCACGAAAAAGTTGCCAGAGCAGAACACCACCCTGGGGTGGAAGTTGTTGATCTTGTCCTCTTAAGGGTTTGCCAGGGTTTCCATTGTAAGCCTAAGCCATCCCAGCCTAAGATCCACATCCTACAAAGAGTTTCTGGAGAAGCAGTGTGTCAGCCGGGTAGATGACCACATCTCCACAGAGCTGACAGGCCTGGTAGCTTTTTCAGCCTGTCCTGGGCCCAGATTCTGGGATGGAAAGTGTGTAGGCTTTGCCTCCGTGTTACAAAGCAGCCCACAACAGACATCTGATAAGCAGCTCCAAGTGAGATGCAAACAAAGGACAGGGACTGGCATTAAGGAACCACCACCCACAACAGGTTAGTTTGTTTCTGCTTGAATGGCTTCCACTATTGACACAAGGATGGACATTACCAGTTCAAGCCCTGCAGGAAGCTGTGCCCCTCCCTTAGCTGAAGGGTTAAAACTGACTCAAAAAGGTACATTACAGCTCCAGGTGTCAGACTCAGAAATATTTGTAAAGCCAGAGACAGCAACTACTTCAAAAATTGCCCCCACTTCCAATTGGGATGCTTTAAGAGGGTGCCAGAAGCCAAATTCCAGGCAGCCTCAGGGAAAAGCCTCCATGAAGGTACATCAAGTAAGTCTCCAAAACTGCTACCTCAACAGGTGGTTGGTTTCTCTGGAGAGGCACCAGAGACTCTGGGGGGCCCTCTTCCTCCTGAGCTTGTCCTTCCTGAGATCAGGGTGGTGGTAGAGGAAGACAGAAGAGGAAAACTTAATGTGCCACTGCTTGTGCCATGATCTGTAGATAACATGAGGACTTTGCTCCTCAGGACTGTCCATCTGGCGCCATTCCTGAGCAATAAAAGCTCACCCACAAAGTATTTTAAAGCAAACAGTTGCTGTAATGAATACCTTAATACTCCTAATACAATACCACAAATAGTAACTACTATAAAATACCCACCCGGTGAAGAGAACCCAAGTTCACAGCCCAGCTCCTTCGGACAGCAGGACCCACAGAGGCTGTGGGTTCATGTCACAAAGGGGTGGCTCCTTCTACCACTCCCCAGCCATTCCCTGTGGCTAATCCAGGCACCCCTGAACCCTTTCCAACACCAGAGGTGCTCCAACAACCCTTGGACCTAGTGAAAAGGTGAGGTGGCCACTGGAAATGGGAATGTGTGCATAGGGATGTGGGATCAGGCATCAAATGTTCGGGGGGAGGAAAGAAAAAGAAAAAAGATTCTACAGTTTACCACTTGTTTGTTTGTTTGTTTGTGATCTCTGCACAGATTCTCTCCCTGCCTTCTTCAAGTTTAGAAACCAGGGCCACTGAAACAGCCCCAAGAGCCAAATGATGAATCTCTGATTCATCAGCACCCATCACACACAAGCACTGATTTCATAAGATACCTGGAACAAAAGCTCTTTATCATGTAAGATCACAATTTGTTTACCAGGGGCATTATTTAACCTGAGGAATACAGGCAGAAATCTGAAATTCTGTCTTAAATTTACTTTATTATGATCTATATTATTGTTCTTGAAGTTCTCTTTTTAGGTGACTTTTCAGTAGGTGGGCTCGAGCAACGCAGGACGAGATGCTCTGAGGAGAGCTGCATCCTAAGCTCTGAATCCCTTGATTTGAATTTTGATGACCAGATTCACCCCTTTTTTCCCCTTTTGAAGATGTTTACTATATGAATGTAAAATAATTACTGAAACCAGATGTATATAAGTACTGTACCTAAGGAAGGCTTAGAGTGTCTCAAAGAGAAAGAGCACTGAGTGGAATCTTGTTTTGTTTGGGTTTTAGCATAGTATGCCAGTTATTTCATGCCATTTTATATCATTTTACCCTCATGCTTCAACCTAAAAGGAAAACAGTATCAGTTCATAACCTCCTCTTTCTAGTCCAATACAGGTAAAAATTAGGTCTCTTACTCTTTTCAAAATTAAGTGTACCTTCCACTAGTCTTATGTCTTCTTATTTCATGAAGGCAGGTGCTGTTTGCTGTGTGTGGCTATTTCAGCGAGCTAAATATTTATTGAAAGCTCAAAGCATTCACTGGCCTCATTTTCTCTGGTTGTTCCATTCAGATTAATAAACCCCTTTCCTACTTAAAATGAAAAGAGAATTCAGAAACGTTGAGCGTCAAGTGAAAAAAAAAAAAAAAAAGCAGCAAGAAAATGACTAACAGATACCAGCACCTTGCATATTTATTTTGTCCTGTCAATTATTTTTAAAGGATCCCTTGCTGATGGAAGAAGATTTTTTAAAAAAACCCGGACTATCAAATAAAGACGTCCACAAACACCGGTTTCTTCATTTTTCCTCATTTTGGAGAAAGTGAATACTGCAAGGGTTTGGGGTTTTTTTTTTTTCCCCTTTATTGGACTTTTGCCGGCGGTGGAAAAAAAAAAAATTCCTGTTTCAAGGGTCATAGAATAAACCCGCATAAAGAGTTTATGACACTACGGTGACGCATTTCCGAAGCTGAAGGCTCGGGAGGCACTTAGAGCATTAGGGAAACACCAATATCAGATGTTCTCCTCCACACTTCAAAGCTGCAGCCGAGTGCAAAGTTCCGTAGGTACCAGCCACTCCGGGGTCAGCGGTGGCTCCCAGCGAACGCTTTCGGAGGCCTAGACCTGGAGGTAATTTCAATGTGTCCTCATCCAGTCATGAACACACAATCACCTATTGAAAAGTGTCTGGCTTGGAGTGCAGACAGATGGAGAGCACAGGGGTTAGTACAGCCAGGCCTTGGACTGACCTTTGCAGAGAGAATTAAATCAGTCTGACCTTGTTGTGAAGCCTAAATTATATCCATAGACCCCCAAATAATGCATCTTTAATGCATCGCTGCCCTCTTTTTATCAGCCTCTTTACCTCGAGGGTATCTTGTTTGCTAACTACTGATGTTAAATTGCAGCTATTTATGCTTACATTTGTGACCTCCGTGGACATCTTGTCACATTTTTCATGAGCACTTGAAAAACTAGAGAAATATTTATCTAGAGAGAATATATAAAAACCGAGGTCTTGTTTCACTCAGACAGAAAATAAACATTAATAGGAAAAGAAACCTGCTTCAACCACGGGGCCCTGTATTCATTGTATAAGTCTAACACAATAGTCATTGTACAATTCTGAGCTTCAATATGATCCATAACCTATCATCTGGACAGCCTGGAAAACAGAACGGTGCCACATAATAGGATTTCCAGTATCTTACAAACACCTTTTCTTCTCAAGATATTTTTAATATTTCAGGATTTTTTAAAAATTGAAAATAGTACTAAGAGCAGAATAACCCCCGTGACACCTATCAGTTTTGGTAGTACAGACCTCTGGACAGAAACAATACCGAGTCCAGGGGCTGGAATCTCGACTGGAAGCCAGCTCGGTTCAGACTAGGAAGCGTTTAATTGGCACTTGTGTTGACTGTAACAGCAGAGGAGCCCAGTGGAAGTTCAGGAGAACTGCAGCCCTTCCCACCGCCTGAAAAGACTCCGTTTTGTGGTTTTCTGTTGTACCTTAACCCGAACAAAAGGTGCTTGGAAAAAAAAAAGAGAAGACCTTAGTCCAGGATGTTACTTTCCAAGTACCTTTATTCTAAGGTGCATGGAGTTACTTTTTAGCTCCTGTTAATCAAAATAGAACTTTGATTTAAACCACAGAAAGGAATGAGGGTTTGTTCCTCTGCTGTTAGTTTGGGATTTCAGCTCTGTCTTTGTAATCTTGGGTGAGTCACCAAAGACCAGGATGGGAATCCCTCTGGTAATCTCCATATGGAAAGCTGAGAGTCCTCAGGCCGGTCAAGTCCACCATCCACAAGATTGGCACCACACCACTTTTGGGAACACTTTTCCCAGGAGCAGTGAGCTGTTAGGGTGGCTCCCCCATCTCGTGGAATCACACCCGTCCACGCAAGAGGTGCTTCCACCCCTGGGCTGGCACTGCCACCCTGATGACCTCACCATCAGCTCTCTAAGCCAGCGGATAAAAAAAAACAACACCACATTTGCTACCTTTTGCAGAGCCCTTTTTCTGCTGGTTTAGCAAACTGCTCAGGGGGAGTGAAGGGAAAGGTGAGCAGCAGCAGCAGCAGCAGCAGCAGCAGCAGAGCACGCAGCTGCAGGGTGGAGAAGAGCAAACCAGTGCAGCGCTGATTTAAATCAGCTGCAGAACCACACCATTAGATCAAACTGCCAATGAAGGTTAAGTTTGGTCTAACCCTTGGCACTGAAGCAGTTGAAATGCTGGAACGCGACTCTTTCTCCCAGTTTTATTCCTTACACTGAGAAAAGCCCATCGGAACTTTATTTGCATCACCAAAGGGCTGCCCTCCAGGGTGGGCTACGACTATAACGCTCCTCAGATACACTGTAAGAGTAGCATTTGTATTATAATTAGTATTTTACCTCTTCCCTGCGAGATTAAATAGGTCGTTTTCAAAACAGATACAACAGAACACAGTCCATCCCAAACTGCCCACTATTAACTACTCAAGAAGCTCATTCCTTACTCCAGAAGTGAGCTCTGGGATCAAAACAGGCACCAGGCATCCTGCAGATCCCTCACTACCGATATAGGCAGTAACCATTCCCAAGAATTTTTCCTGTATTGAGGGAAACCTGTCCACAGAAAGCAAAAGCTGCTGGTCAAAAGCAGCAGCCCTGGGCACAGGAAGAGTCACAGCTGCACACGATGGAAACTGTGTGGTGCTGTTTTAATGGGGTTTCTTTAGCTTACAAATCTCCAGGTGCTACTGAGAACCACGTAGGGATTATCTGCTCAAAAAGCAGAGGTCAGTGCAGCCCACAGTGCTGGGCTGTTGGCACTTTCTGCCTGCAAACATGCTAGAAATCCCTGAAAAAGGAAGTTTTACATTGCCAAAAGCACACAGCAGAGCATGAGCACCAGGCTCAACCATGTTTCCTGCAGATTCTTCCTGATATTTTAAGAGTCTTCCAGATAAATACAGACTCCTGTATTTCAAGGGACAGGAGCAGCAGCTCATTACAACAACCAACCAGGGTCTGTCAGGATCCCAAAGCCAGGGTTGCTGCTGCTGTTGCAGGTGGCTGCTGCAGCCCAGGTTGGAAAAGCAGGTCCCTTCTGACAGCAGCAGCCTTTCCCCACACCTTCCAACCTCTGACAGTTCCCAGGTCACCAAGCCTGATCCCAAGATTTCACAGCTGAGGCAGCAAAATTCAGCCTTGCCAGCCCTGCTGAGAAGTCTTGCTCCAGCTCTGACCCCACTACTCTTAGTTCTTCTTCCTCTTAGATGTGGTTCTCATGTGGTTCCCTGCAAGGTGTGTGGAGTGAGGAACAGAGCCCTCAGGAGTGAGTACATGCCTGTCTGTGTTTGTCCAGCCACAGAAGAGACAATCACAGGATGGAAAGGACATGGGAGAGAAACAGGCCAGGAAAAAAATCTACATCTTCAAAATAATTTAGCTCCAAAAAAATCGAGTCTCATCTAAACAGTCATATAGGAAACAATGAGTACAAACTACCACCTGCTTCTTTGTCTATACAAAGCAAAAAAAGGCAGTGATAATCACACTGTTTGATTCCATGATCTGATTCCTGTGTTACCTTATTTCTCAGAGACTACAGCTCTGCGTACCACAACATGCCTGTCAAGATGTGGATTTACAGGTTACACTGTAGTAGAACCTGCTGGTTTTCAGCTCCAATCGACATTTGCTTGTCAGTACATGCCTGACAGAGTTGCAGTCCAGATTAGGAAACATTTGTTTATGCCCCAAAATCCCCAACATATTTTTCCAGCTATGCTCCCAGTGCTGAGCTCCATGCCACTGCAGCTCTCTGGTAGTCAGCTCTCACACTGCTTCCTGGTATAAAATTGATTAGAAGCAGCATGAAGTGTTATCAAGCTGACCCTCGGGAGGCTGGGCCCAAAAATAACAGATGGGGAAAAGTGGCCTTTTGATTAAACTTTCAAGTGCCACAAACTGTACATTTCCCCTCACCGTGCATGTGCACACACGTCGTAACTCCGGAGAAGTCCACACGAGCTGCAGGCACAACATTAGTGAGCTTAGAACAGACCTATTCTTAACAACATTAGTGCTGCTGAAGTCAGCAGGACACTTGCCACCAGCTTCAGCGGTGGCAGGAAAGGGGTCCTTTGTTCCACTTTTTATTTCACGTCTCCTTCTTCCTGGTGTGGGCTCAGCTGATGCCAGAGAGAGGATGCGAAAGTAACGCGGAGCAGGCCCAGGCTGGCTGTCCATGACACAAGAGCTGCTGGTGGGGGTGGTGGCAGCTGCTTGGGAAAGCCATGCAGATTTTCAGGCATTCTCTAAAGCCCATGCCAACGTGCTTTCTGGGTGGTGCTGGGTATGTGCAGTTTGTACCTTTCCGAGGTCCAAAAAAATTACCCCAAAATCTCTTCCGATAAAATCCTGAGAGACAGCAGGTCCCCACTGCAAGGAGACAAATGAGCCACAAAGGATTTTGGTGGGAAGAAAAAAAAAAAGGCAAAGGAAGCAGCACATCTCCATGCACGCCTATACTGATATGAACCTCTGATAATACAAATCTGATTTACATATTCATATATTTATATGCCTGAGTGTTCCCATTTCAAAGAGTCTTATTGCCTAAATCGCTGCAGAATAGCCAGATGTAAAGGAATGAGGGAAGGATGGAATAGCAGACTTTGGAACCTGAATTTCCAGGCCTCAGTAGCTTTGCCACAGCCTCGTTTGCATAGGTTTTCTTACTCTGTTCTACAAGTGCCAACTTACTTTGAGCCACTAGTACATAGAGCATCAGGGCTAGAAATCAGTAACAGAGCAGCTCAACCAGGGATTGAAATACAAATGATTATTTAGAGCTCCCCCCCCTTCATCTAGGTAAAATTGGTGATATCTAGTGACAGGCCATGAGCTGCTGCTGCTTTGAGAACATCCATCAAAATGGATCACTGCTTTCCTGGACAGTTCAGTACTGCCCAGACCAGGACCTGCCTCTGTGGGGTTGTGCCTGGGCCACAGCAGGACCCTGTGGTTGCTTTTTGGCATGTCAGAAGAGCCATGATAAGTTCAAAACTGGTTTTGAGGCCTACAAATGAATGACGAGAGCCAGGCATTGAAACAAATACTGATTACTATTATTCCAAAAACAGGCCTCCAGAGGACCCGACAGGAGCTAACAGGATGGATAGCAATACATAGTCATCCTACCTCCTCTCACTCACACTTCTCTTTCTCTCTTTTCAGAGGATATGAGGTCCTTTATGTCTCAACTCCATCTGTAGTTCCTCAAAAATTGAGAAA